GTTCTGCAATAAGTGACTATCAGAAAAAGTTCAAGATATTTGACATAGGCACAGGCATACAGGAATATTCAAGAATTGGTCTGCAGAAACATCCGTGGAACTTAAGAACAGTTATACTGGTCTTCTTTTTCTGTAAAGTTACAGAATTGTGCAAATGATAAATATTGACAATTTACACAAGATCTGGGAGGACCATGGTATATTGATAAGAAAAAATGAGGCCCAGAAAATCTAAATACGCTGTCCAAGGTGGCAGGCTATTTAGTAACCATCCAGTCCAGAACTCAGCTCTAACTCTACCACAGATCTCTTTATCCTGTTCTTGGCATTAGCCAGATCAGGGTATGGAATTCTCTTATTGATTAAATGAAAGTGACTAATGCTAGATACACAGCATGATCACATCACTGATTTTCAAAAAGATGGACCAAACTGGGCGTGATAAAACATACCCACATTCTCGGCACTCTGGGAAGCCAAGGCAGACAAATCCTGCTTGAGCCCAGGCTGGGAAACTTAACAAGACTGTCACAAAAATCAAATAAGGTAGGGATATAGCCCTGTGCATAGATCTTGGCTCAGTTCACCAATATGAGGGACTGAACCAGCCCCTTTGCAATGAAGATTGAAAATGACAAAACATGGGAGAAAACAAAAAAGATGGACTGAAGTTTCATGGACTCCTAAAGCGCAGCTGAGGCTAGTGGGGTCTCGTACAGAGATTCCAGTGCTATCTTGAGATGACCATGAGTCACCAGTCCACATACATCCGACTGCCTGATGGAGTAAATGATTCTCACTTTGCTAATTCCAAATAAATATTTATAAATAATTTTCCTTCCTCTAAACAGGAAGAAGAAAACTAAACAATATTTTTTATGGGTCTGGTTTCTGCCCTACGTCTTGGTCAGGTATGGCTTTTGCAATGAGTCCTTCCTCAAAGGCTCGTTTTAAAGGGGCAAACCCCAGCCCCTAACCTCAGCCCTGGGACACGTGTTGCTCCCTCTACTCTGCTTTGCTTGTTCCCTCCAAGGCAAGTAGTGCAAGCTAACAAATGAAAATGCACTCTTTGTTACCATGTGAACTGGAGTGAAAGCTCTCCGAGGGCAGGAATAACTCCATGACCTCATTGGCTAAGTTTGCTATAAAAGCATAGCAAAGGTTTGAATGAGTAATTGAATGAATATAAAATATTTTTTAAACTTTAAAAATATATATGAGGGTTCCTGGCTTCACACAGACTGAATATTTATAATATAAATTAATTTTAGATAGAAGACTGAATTGTCTGGGGCTGGGGATTTAGCTCAGCGGCATAAAGTGCCTGCCTTGCAAGCAAGCAGTCGTGAGTTCGATCCCTGGTACAGATAAAAAGGAAAAAGACCAAAAAAAAAAAAAAAAATGAGAAGACTAAATTGTCTGGCCTCTTTTCTCCAGCATGTTTATTATAATGTAAGGTACAAAAAAAAAAAAAAAAAAAAAAAAAAACAAATCCTTGAAAGCATTTTGACCTGAAAGACAATCACTCAAAGCATTTTAATACCCCAATCAGCTCACCTGATGCCTGGAGCCTAGTGCGCTCACAGCAGAAGTGAACTTTAAGCTGCACCTTGTCAAGTTCTCTTCCTTGATGTCTGAGTGTATTCTTTCCAGCACTGACAATTTCAGTCTGGGGGCTCGTGTCTAGCGCTGAGACAGTAATATAGTTTTCAGAATTTCTCAAAATCTGAGTACTTTAAAGGTATCCTATTGATTTACCACCTTCTTTTACCTCCTTCTACAGGCGGTTTCTAGGTTCTTTCTATCCAAATAAAGAATTGGTTAGGACAAGTGCAAAAGGTAGAGAGGTTTTACATATTTTAAAGGAAGAAAAAAAATAGGAAAATAAGTACATTCTACAGCATGAGAGCAAACTATTGTGAAAGAACACAGTAGCCTAAAAGGTCAATGACAACTGGTTTTTGTACCTCCTGCTCCTCAGGCTGCTGTCAGATGTAGGCCATCCTATCCCAAAGTGCTCAATTTAATGCAAGAAGTATCCAAGCAGGGCTTTGGGAACTGTTCTGTGCATGTGTCCTGGAATTTCACAATTAACAAGTCACGCCTACTTTCCCAACCAGCCTACCCTGCCCTAATCTCCTGCCTCACTTCCTTTACAAAATGTGTTATTTTTGAGATAACAGGTAGGGATCACTACACAAGGTAAACAACCTAGGTATAGTCATGCTGAGTGAGCCTGTATGGAAATTGTATATAAAACCAGTGACAAGAGTAACAGCTGTCTGGATACATTGGAGAGATACCAAGGGCACCTTGTGCTCTTGTAATTAGTATGACTAAGTCCCATCCTGGGATCCTCAGTTTATCTTTCCTCAACTTAGGAAATTTCTGCAGCTTTACTACACAGTTGTGTACTCTAAAAAAAATTTTTTTTCAAAATAATGCAGCTACACAGCTCAGATAAACAAGTAAGTTCCTATAAATTCTTCCAGACAATGAATCATCAAAGATACATGAATGAAAAATACAGCCCTGGGAGCTGAGGACAGTTTCATATCAAGTGATGGAGGCAGTGGGCTAGGTGGGGTGGGGTAGAGGTTGTTCCTCTCATATCCCTCATTTGTTTAAAAGCTGGTTGAGTCCAAGGATGCCTCTTAATTCTGCAGGGTATTCTGGGGTATTTGGCTGAAGACAATCAGAAACTATTGCAGATGTGTTTCTGACTACAGTGCTACGTTGGTACATGAAAGCTTTTGTTTGTGAACAACTCGGTTCACAAATAGAACTCTTTGTTATGATGTGAACCAGAGTGATTTGGCAAAATTTTGTTTTGTTTGTTAACTCCGCATCAGATATTGAACATGAGTATGGCCATCTTCCCCACATGAAGATGAATGTGGCCAGCTTTTCCAGAGTCACAGAATGAAGATCATGATCTGAGGTATCACCATATTTTCCATAAATACATACAAATAAAACTCTTAAAAATTGTGTTCATTCTCAAAAAATGCTAACTCAGACAAGATGCCCTCAATATTGGGTCTAGAAATAAAAATGTAATTCCTCTATTTCTAAAATTTGGGAAGTTGTCTGAAAATTTAGCTGGGGAGAGGTATATTTTTTGTCAGAAATCTAAAAGGAAGAAATTGACTCATTGTAATTCTTTAATCAGATTTTTAGCATCATTATTTTGAGAAGGCATTTCAAATGAAAAATAACCTTGTGTAGAAGTCTTCATACAGGACTGAAAATAAAACCTCAAAAAATATTAGTGGACTGTGGCTTTTAAAAAGATAGTTCTGTAAGCCTCAAGGTTGCATGTAAGTGTTTGAATAGATACATACATAATTAATCTGCAGTCATAATGCTTCCCCTTCCAAAACAATTTGTCATTGAAATTTTATTTTTATTAAGATAAGCTTTCATCTGGAAAACACTCTTGGTCCAATGGAGTCCTCTTTTTTTGGAAGAGCCCTGTCTGCTCCTTCCCTCGTCCTAGAGGACTGCTTGAGGGCAAGGATAGTGCTGGGTACGTAGACAGCCTCCTCCAGGAGCCAGGATGACCCTGACTCTGGGTCCTGAGCTCAGCAGCAATGGAAGTTTCTACTGTGAGCCTGGGTGGCACCAGGACAGCAGGGTCACCAAGGTGACAAGGGCCATGCAGGGGATATTGGATATGATACGCTTAACAGTGATGTCTTTTAGCAAGAATATTATGCCAAGGTTTTTTTCTTTGAAGACTTTTACTCTGAGCATGTTTTTCTCATTTTTGATCTGGTAATGGCAAGCAGAAGTTACTGTTTCAGAGTTACTAAGGTTCCTTTAGAGTTCTCATGCATAAGTAAAAAGGAAGATGCTATCAGAAAAGATGCAGTTAGGGACTTTACATTTGATTTTGATTAAAAAACATAATCTAGAGTCTCTTGAATGATCTAGATGTACAATTATAGCATTATCAAAAAAGGTTCATACTATATAGCAGGGCTTTCATTTATTCCATTAGCTACTTTTTACAATTTTAGTTTATTGGTACATATGTACCATACATAATATTTCTTTTATGATACTCAAATAGTAAAAGTGATACTGACAATCTTCATCTGGTTCCTGTTTTTATTAAATAATTTGAGCGTATTACCATATAAAATTATATTAGCCATTAATGTTTGTGATTTTTGCTTAAGGTTTTGCTTATAATTAAATACAAGATTGGGTTTATACGCATTCAATGGATTTAAGAAAAATGATCATATTATCCATATGAGGTACATAGGTTCCATCAATCTCACTGTTGTAGTAAATTTCATGCATGTTTTCCCTTATTCTTTATTCACTGGTTATGTCTATTTGTGAGAAATTATTAAAATAATTCAAGATATATGGATATATAATATGTAGTTCAAAGATAATAAAATATGGCAGAATAAAACAAAAAAGATACTAAATATACCTTATTGTGATATATAATACCAGATGTGACTATACTGAAATGGATATTGTATTCTTAACATGAAACTTTATACCATTAAAGACTCAATTTTCTCTAATGAGTCACTTTAATGCTACTCAATTAGATTCACCACACATTTTCACTTTTAAATTAATAAAATCATTGGGACACAGTCAATGATCTTTGATGATTTAAAAGATGAAACTTGTAAAGCACTTTTAAAAATTCACTCTATAACTAATACCTTAGGAGGCTTCATAATGGAGATAACAGACAGACATGTTCACGATGAATGAAAAAAGAAGAAAATCTTCGATACATCTTAACTAAGAACACTGTTTCCCAAATTACCCTCCCACTCTAATTTAGAACACTGTATTTGGGTTAAACATTGCACTTCAAATCTCTATAACTTGTAATGCCTAGATTCCCAGGTAAATATATTTTGATTAGATTGTTCTACAGTCACATGTATGTCTGAATCTTGAAATAAATAGAGTTTAGCCTTAAAAAGCACCACTGGGTGCAGTGATTTTGTTTGATCACTCACCTTGACCCTTTTTAGAGGCAAATAAAAGCTGACTTTAGGTAAAATTAGCAAGAGCAAGCCCATATGCTCTGTCTCATCCTTTCCCAGCCTGGAGAAAGGTCATGCTTCAAAGAAGGCACACAGGCAGAAAGTAGATGCAAACTTCATCTTAGAAACAGAAAAGAAAAGAACAATTGACAGTTAAAACAATGAAAATGTGAAAACAAATATCTGACAATGTGATTGAATACTCCAGGAATCTGAGAAAGAAGAAAAAGCTAACCTAAAATAATTTAATGTTCAGAGGTCTAATTAAAAAAAATTCTGCAGATTTTCTTCTTAATGAGAGATTAGACCCCATTTCAAAACATACACCACTTGGGTAAAGGTATTACAGCTCATCATGCATGGAGCTTAAAGCTCCATGGATAACAGCATCCTATCAATTTTTCCAAAATGTGGATTTCAGAATATTTTTATAAAATTTGCTTATGAGAACTAAAGACATTAATGAGAGTAAATGTCCACTTTGACTATCTAAGCCAAGGCCTGGAGGAATTGGCACTTGATACCCTACACTATGGGTGCAGGCCCTGAGTTTATATGCTTTCCTTTCTGGGGCTGGAAGACAGAGAAGAGAGGAGGAGCCTTGCAGAGACCGAATTCCCAAGCATCATCACCCGTAATCCCATTCCCCAGATGAAAAAATTCAGAGAGGAGAAAATCAAGAAATGCTGATTTTCTGAGTTCTCCAGCTTAAGGCAGATACCGGAAAAAAAGATGCAATAAAGTTTTCCTACTCAACACATCTGCTCAGCAGCCCACCAGAAACTGAAAACGCATTTACCTTCCTGACAACACAAGAGCTTAATGCAGACTGTGGGTGTGACTCCATAGTCAATAGTCAGTGCAGACTAAAGAGAGCAGCGTGGGTAGATTTCTGATAAGACAGCTACAGCATTCCCTCTAAATTAAAAAAAAATTAGGATAATGTTCAGAAGGATAATTGCTGCTATTTTGATGCAGATGCTGACATCAAGAATCGCTTCAAGTACTATGCCTCCTACGTTACATCTACTATGGGTGGTTGAGTGCTTTCAGTGTTGACGATCAGTGTTTCAGTGGAGTGTTTTCCGTGAACACATTATAATCTTGGCACTGAGTGCCTGTGCTGCTCAGAAAGACGGCTGCTGCCAAGAACCCCCAGGCTCACAGCGCAAGAGAACAGTAGGCAAGTCACTCACACCACGGTACTACAGTGGGGAGCCAATCCCTTCTACCTCAGCCTGCACAAGACAGCTTTAAATATCACGGAATTCCTCCTCAAAATTCTCATATTTCTGCATTCTCTAGAAATAACCCGAGGACTCAGCAACCAGAGCCCACATTCATCCTGGACCACAATGGACAATGAACGAGAGCCGATGTGTGGCTTCCTCTTCACCTGCACCCGCCTCATGCTGCCCAGCCTGCCAAGGATTTTAATTTGTAAGATGAACTCCTGGCACATCTAATGTCACATGGTATGTGTCACGGTACATTAGACTGCAGGTGCCACGTCATATGTATCTGTCTGTCTCCCTGGTGAAACCACATTTCAACAAAGGTAAAGACACTTGTTTTTCACATTTTTCTAACCTACTGTCATAATGTCATAAATGCACACAAATTTACATAAAATCGTATATGAAGCAGAAGCATCCTGATTGCCTTGAAGTGCACTGCTGTGGAATGAACAAAACCATGTTCTGATGCCCCTTTTCCTTTATGGGGTTAATCCAAAGGTGAATCACACAAAGTGATGCCGACCACTTTTTCAAGATATGGCTTCTTTCCTTCAAATCACAAGCAAGATACCTTTGAAGCAGGTCCTGCGAGAGACCTGATACTGATCAGGCCACGGTTACAGTGAGCTCATAGTGCTGGTATCAAGTGCCAGTCCTGGCTCTTACACGTTCACACTAGGCCCTGCCAAACCACACGCTCCAGTCTACAGGGCTTCCTCTCAAACACAGGGCAGCCTGAGGGCTGCTCAGGCAAGGGGATGAATCAGGAGCCCTGAGGGCAACTAAACTTCCCTCATTTTGACATAGATTAGGGCCAAGATGGATGCAAATTACCTCACAGACATAACACACTCTCCTCATTGTAAAAAAGCACTTAATAGGTAAAGGTAGACTGGACAGAAACCACCAGTGAAATTTGGGTGGTTTGCTGAGGGTCAGCAGTATGGAGCCATCATCCCATAACTATGGCATGCCAGGGAAGACCACTCAGTACAAGAAATCTGGCCTCTTTCTGGTACCTTACTTTTTCTTCTTCATACTGTGTTAGTATGTTATGTGATCTAATGTGAGAGCCCAGTTACTTGTGAGTGGAATCCCTGTGTTTTTGCTAATAATTTATAGAATTTAGATAGACGCTAAATCCTTCTAATTGCAGAAAAATTGTCAGCCTCAGCCCAGTTGAATTGTTGCTAATTTGAAAAAAAATGTAACAGCCATCATGTATAATTTAGAGCAAGATCATTTTAAAGTCAAAGTGGCGTCCTTTTACCATCAGTGAAACAGGGAAGGAGATAATATTTGACATTCTTATTGCACAGACCCATTGGGAGAATTACCGAGCTTTTTATGGGCTGTTAGCTATGTTCCTTGAATGTGGTTTCATCACATCAGATTAGTTCCTGACATTCAGCAGATGAGGAGCCAAAGGACAAACGAGGAAACGTCTCTGCAGACTCGCTGCTCATCACGCCTTCCTCCCTGCACAGCCCATCATTGGCTGCACTTCCATGGTTCTATAAAGTCAACTGAAAAAAACAAGGACATGTCATCACGTTCAATGAGTTACACTCCTTGCTAATAAGTATTAGTAACTAGTAAGAATTCTATCTTGTAATTTTCTACAAAATAAATTCTTGATCTTAGCCAAAATCCTACATCCATCCTTCTCTTCCTTCTAACTACTGTTCCTTTACCTTACACACCCAAGCTTTTAAGTTGACCTTACTACAGTATCTGTAATCTGAAATAACCATCTGAACATTTCTGTCATACTCCCCACATAGTGGATACTCAATAAAAATGTACCAAAAAACAATCAAGAAATTAAGATTTAAAACTATTTTCAAGTTATCAAAGCAACATCAAAAATTTAGTGCATGCTTTTTATTTCCAAGTACATCTGCCTAAAGTGTCTTGAGCTTCAGCCCTCTCTTTCCACCTTTGATCATTGATCTATTTCTTGGTATAGATGGGGTGGGAATATGAGAGGTCATGGGTAAAATACTGTAAACCCCAATAAAATGAATGATACAGAGGGCAGATATCAGTTCAACTCGTCAGGTCTTCCTTTCCCCTGCACTGCTGGGAATGGCCACATCATGGAGCATGGGGGAAGAAGCATTCTGGACCTCCCAGAAGATGGTGGAGTAGAGAACAGCAGAGAAACAGCCTTTCGAGATTTGATGTCTGGACACTGGAATATACCAATGCGAGTTAAAGAAAGGAGAGAAGTGGGCCCCTGGACCTAGAAAGGATCTGAGGAGAAAATTGAAGCCCATGGGGCGAGAGAAGAGAGAGACTTCAATGAAGAAGAAGAAGAAGAAGAAGAAGAAGAAGAAGAAGAAGAAGAAGAAGAAGAAGAGGAGGAGGAGGAGGAGGAGGAGGAGGAGGAGGAGGAGGAGGAGGAGGAGGAAGAAGAAGAAGAAGAAGAAGAAGAAAAAAAAAGATGGGGCTGGGGGTTTAGCTCAGCGGCATAAGCACCTGCCTTGAAAGCAGGCAGTCGTGAGTTCGATCCCCAGTACCGATAAAAAGGAAAAAGACAAAAAAAAAAAAAAGCTTTAAAAAAAAAAAGAAGAAGAAGAAGGAGGAGAAGGAGAAGAAGAAGAAGAAGAAGGAGAAGGAGATAGCAGACAGTGCTTTCTCCGACTCCTGACTCACTGCCTGGGAGGAGCAGCTTGAACCTACAGACAGACAATGACTTCCAGTGACCCCAGAGTCTATATGGAGAAATGTACCAGTGGAACAGTGCAGTGGACACAGTAGACTGCAGGGACTGGTAACTTATTCGAGTTCAGATGTTTTCCAAGAGAGGGCTGGTTGGAAGCCACCTTGCAGAGGGGCTGGTAGCCATCATGGAGAGAGACCATCTCAGCTCACCACTCAGTATAGCTTCAGGCTGGCTCCATGTAACAGCTCCCAGTGTAAGAGTGAGGTGGAATCAAGTTCAAGTTAGCGCCAGGCACACAGTATTATTACAGGCTGAACAAATTGAGTTCCAGTCTCACAGTCAGAAAGCAGTCTTAACTTCAGTGGAACTAAACGGGCAGGCTTGCTGAGATTATCCACCACCCCACTATAAATCTACCACTGACTTACTCGGATTAATCAACATGGATCTGAACTCTGCCTGCCCATTTTGTCTAACAGTGACATCAGAGTGGACATATTTTTCCTATTTTCTTCAGATTTTTTCCCTTATTTTGTTTACTTCAGTTCTATTTTCTTTTTTATTTGTTCTTATTTTTAGATGAGTCTAAACATTGTTTTAGTTTTTTTGTTGTGGTTCTGTTCTGTTGATTTTATTTCTTGCTTCTCTCTTTCCTGCCTGTCTTCAAGTGTTTTGCAAAATTTGCATAATCTTATTTTGTCCTCCAGCCTTGTGTCTAATCTCTTCTTCTACTTCACTATTTTTCCCCTTTTCCTTTTAAAATTTTCTCCTCTGAGAATAAAATTGCATATTGGGTTTGTTGACTACATACAACTTTCTGGTTAACTAGATTTTGTTATAGAATCACAAATCAAGTTCATAAAGTTAAAAGTGGCAAACTAATATTTACTACAGCTTTGTTTTCTAAGCTGTGTTTCATGATATTGCTATTACTGACTGTACTACTTTAGCTGAGGTGACAAAATTTCTCTAATCTATTATTCCTCCTTGTATGACAAGATTGAGATTGCCCAATGGTCATGAGCAATGATATAGTCTAGAGCCAATAAACCAGGTGCTAGACCAAATAGGCCACAACTTCTCATCTCCAATAAATTGGAAGAGGCAGGATCTTGCAACAGATTCAAAACTCAAAAGCCAGGTACACCTGGAAGACATCTCTCAAAAGTAGACATTTCCTAAGAGTTCTAAAACCTAGCAGTAAAGCTACTGGCCACAAGCAATTTTCATGTATCAATCAAGGAATGAAACTCAAACAAAACAAAGCAAAACAAAACAAAACAAAAAACAGAAAAAGAGAAGACATTTAAGCAAGATGAAAATGCAGACATCCAGCTCATCAAAGACAAACCCAGGAGGTAGTGAGATGGAACAACTTGAAAGCCACCCACCTGGAATCTCTAAAGTCATAAAGGTGGAAAGAACAAAGCAGATGAATGAGGCTCTAAAACTAAATTGAATCAGAAATACATTCTCAGATAACTACAGAGACAGTGACCATACTGAAAGACATGCTAATGACTCTAGAGAAGATACAGATAAAAAGAGGGGCTTAGAAAAGTGAGGAAACCATGAACATATATCATAGGAAAGAAATTAAATCCATAAAACAGGTTCAAACAGATACCCTAGGATTAAAAATTCCATTGAAAGTATATGCAGCAGAAGGAGCCAGTGTGGGGACAGAATATTGTTGATATAAAAGACCGGATTGAAGTTAGCAATCATGAAAGAAAGGCTTCTTAAAAATAGCAAGGAATTACCAAAAATCAATCCAACAGATGCTAGATGATGCAAAGAACAACAACACAAAGTAAATCAGAATCTATGAAAAAGCAGGAGATAGCAGAAATGATATAAAACCTGTTCACAGAAGTAATGGTAGAAAACTTCCCAAGCAGAGAAAAAGAATTTGACATATGGAGAAGTGAGATACATAAAGTCTAACTAGCCATGATCAAAAAAGTCTATACTATGGCATATAATAGTCAAGATTCCAGAAATTCAATAGATGAAGAGAATATTAGAAGTTGTTTGCTATAGTCAGGGATTGTGAGGAGAACAATTACAATCAGGACACAGAATTTATAATATTATTTTATGATGGTCACCCAGAGTCAAACACAAGAAAGTGCAAGGAAATCTGTCCACAACACTAAAGACACAGAATATTCTGCCAAAGGCCTGGATCCCACAGCAATGTCCTGCATGAGGCCAAATGAAGACCTAGAGTCCATGACAATGCCTTCTATTGGAGGTCTAGAGCCCATGACAAGGACTCATATCAGTCTGTTTTATGGATCTGCACTGGGAAGGCCCAAAGGTCAGCGGTGGAAGTTAGAAAGTCGATGTCAGCAGGGTGAAGGAGCTGTGCTCGTAGATTGAGTACATTCCAGAAAGCCAGCATACCAAGTTTCTTCTGGAGATTAAACAGCACACATCTCCCCCTCTGGATCCAGGAAGCGATGCTCAATGTAAGGACCAGAGCTCCCCCAAAGTGAACCACAGCACTCTCACCAAGGTCCCAAGCTCCTCTGATGACAGTGATCAAACTCACACTGGGGAAGTTAGTCATGACGAGCTCCTCCAGGAGAACCAATGGCTCAAACCAGCAACACTTAGAGAAACCCATAATGCCTAGCTCTTTTTCTCCATGTCTCTGTTTATTCTGGCAACTTTCCTCAGGTGGGCCATCTACACTTAGCACCATTCTGATTTAATTCAGCTGGTGTTAAGTTGACCATCAGTTTTTAATCCATAACATTGTTAGAGAAAAGAAACAAATCACCTGTTAAAGAAAGCTCATCAGAATCATAGCAGAGTTCTGAACACAAAGCCTCAAGTCAAGGAGAATATGGAATGAAGTATTTCAAACCCTAAAGAAAACAACCTGCAACTGATACTGATGTACCCATTAAACTATCTTTCAAAGTTGTCTGGGGCTGGGGATCTAGTTCAGCAGCATAAGCACCTGCCTTGCAAGCACGTGGCCGTAAGTTCGATCCCCGGTACCAATTAAAAAAAAAAGTTGATGGAGAAATAAGATACTTCTATGACAAAGAATACCTGAAGAAATTTGTACCCACAAAATCAGCACTTCAAAATGTTCTAAAGGACATTCTAGATGGAGATAACAAGGAATAAAACTTCATGAAACCCAACAGAATAAATCTACCAGACAAGGCAAGCAATTAAACAGTGGAGAAAAAAGAAAACAAACAATAGGAAAATCAAATGACAAAGATAGGTCAATACATATAATTTATAACCATCAGTGTTAATGGTCTCAATTCACTAATCAAAAGAAACAGACTGGCCAAATGAATCAAGAAGCAACATCCAACAATATGCTGCATACAAGGAAAACATTTAATTTAAAAAGAAACTCACAGGCTGAAGGTCAAAGGATAGAAACTAATGTGCTTATACTGCTTGATCAATTACGCATGACTATATCTTATAACCTGAGCAACTTCTTTGAAGATAGTGACATGCAATATATTAACCATTGTCAGTTTCCTATTATCTTGTTTTTAAAATTCTGAATCTTTGTTTTTATTGTTTTCTTCTCTTTAAAATAAAGTTTTAAAAAAAGAAAAAAACCATTAATCTATGAATGGGAAAAAACCAGACAGATTCCTAGACACATACGAGTTATCAAAGATGAGTCAAGAAGATATAACTACTCTAAACCATAACTGTCAATAAAATTGAAAATGTAATTAAAAACCTACCAACAAAGAAAATCCCAGGCCCCAACAGATTCACTGCTGAATTCTATAAGAAATTTAGAGACTAGTGCTGCTACTTCTCAAACTTCATAATGAAATTGTAAAGAAAGCAACACTCACAGATTCA